ACTATCTGACTGAGCCTAAAGTATGAACCTGAGGGGAGATGCAAAGCCAGATGCCCATTAATGACATTTAAATGTTTTCTCTTTCCCCCTTGCAAGTTTTCTCTCCCTGGATTAGCCTGGATATACTTACCGCTTCAGTCTTTTGACAGACCCTTACATTTCCACTGTGGGTTCTTTTCCCTCCATTCCTTCAGCTCCTGAAGTGGAGAGCAAAAACTCAAGGATGATCACACTAAGTTGCTTTGGGGTGGGGGAGGGTAGTTGGTTGCATGTAAAAAGCTTTAGCAATCAAATGATTCTCAGCTTTCCCATTGTTTAAAAAAAAAAGTGTTCCATTTCAAATATTGTCATATAAGACAAACAGACAAACTTGTACTTTCACATTTATCCAAAACATTTCAGTAGATTTATTCCTTTGGCTAGGAAGACACAACTGCCCATACAACCATACAACTTCGTGTCCTTGTAGGGGTAGGAGTGAGGTAGTGAGTAAGTGAGTCATAAGAAAGTGAGTAACAAGCAGGAGGGGGTAAGATTCTTGTGGGTATTACATGCCTTTCTACTTCATGTAAATGTCTTTGTAATAATAGCAAGGAAAAAAGGAAAAAAAATTAAAAAATTTTAACAAGGAAAAAAAGTGATGAAAAAGACCTGTGCTTGAATGGAAACAAGAAATCTTTAAATTAGCAATTGATATTTCATGAATAGAAATGTCCCTGGAATGCACAGTAAATGAGGTTCTAAAACTAAAGAGAAACATTCTTAGGAACAATGCTGTCTTCAACTAAAGATCTATTATAGATTAAAGATGTATACATGTAGTTTATAGTAAAATTTTAAAATATTTTTTAATAACTGCTAAATTATCAAATCCCTAAAGGTAAGTAGATTGAGTTTTCTTCTTCTTTTTTTTGTCCAGGAATCTGCCTGTATGCCAGGTTGCTGATGACTGCTAGGATATGGAATTTTGATATCCATTTGGTCCTGATTTACACCAGGATTTCTCAGGCTGCCAACAAGCAAGTCCAGAACTTCAGGCAGCCAAAATTTCACCAGAGACAACTGTCTTTTATTTTATAGCTTATGAATTTGGGGCTTAATATGATTTTCCACTAACAAGTTCTGTACCCCCTCCAAAGTGCTAAAACCGGTGTGTAGATCAGCAAAGTAACCCAGAACAGATGAGGCAAGTTAATATTAAACTTGAAGGAAAACTGTACAAATTATATTGTTTACTTAGGAAAAGAAAAGCACCCCAGTTGAAAAGGCTGACACATGATTTATTGCAGACACTTAACTCACATATTCACATTTTTAACCTCAACCACACTTGAAGCAGCAGCATGTTGGCTAGTGTGGCTCTTGGTATTTGATAGGGCATTAGTAAAGCTACCAATTAAAAAAAAATCCCCACTGGAACTTGGTAACAAGTGACTAGAAACAATGAGCATCTTCAGCTCTTACAAAATATTTAGAAAAAAAAACAAAATGCAGACTCATATCCAGCATGAGTAATAAATCACAAAAGAACATACTTAGATGAGCAAGCATACAATTTGTGGAAGAGTTAGGGAGAATAAACGGTGTACAGGCATAAGGAAAAGAAATGTTGATGCTATCAACATGACAAAGAGCAAATGATGCCTTCCTTGTAGCTACAAGCAGAGTATGTGGCCAAAGAGAACATCCATAATAATGAATTTAGACACAAACTTTCCCCCATTCTTTTGATATGTCCCAGTGAAACTTTGAAAGGAATCAAGGAGAGATTAGATACTGTAAATTTGCCAAGGGATGTGGTAGAATTTCCTTCCCTAGAGACTTTTAATACCTCCATACGTCAGGGATGTTTGAAATTCAGTCCTCCTTAGGCAGGCCCTGACTGCCCTTGGATCAGAGTTAGGACTATGATACCTAGACTAGGTCTAGTCCAGAGGTACTTATCCTCTTTTATGCTATGGACTCATTTGGCAGGCTGGTAAAACCAAGGGACCAACTTTCTTGAGATTTTTTTCAAAATTCATAATCAAGAGATGCTAAATTTCAGTTAGAGATCAGCAAAAACAAAGATATAATTCTGCCTCATCCAAGTTCATAGACCCTGTTAAACTACATCCATTGACCCCACAGTAAGAACTTCATTTTCTATGACCTATAGGTATTTATTTTGTGATTCCATCAAAGAGTATGTTCCATAGTGAAAACTCAAGACACTAGATGAAGTATTGGGTCAATCATGATGGGTGTCCACAGATCTTTTAATGATGACTCATTATGTTAACTGAATTTGCTAATACTGCATGGAATATTTATGGTGTTGCTAATGTATACAATTCACTATCTGTTCCATCCGCAAATCATTAAATAGTGCTTTCTAGTAAACATAAGTAAATATTCCTTGGACAATACTAACTACGGAGAGTCAGTGTGTTGTAGTGAGATGGGCACTGCACCTGTTATTGGGTGAGGCCTAGGGTCGAAGTCTACCTCTGACCTTTACTAGCAGTGTGACCACGAACCTCACTTTACCTCTATGACTGAGTTCATTTCCACACCTGCAAAATGGAGACAAAAATACTTGTAGCACCTACCTCCCAGGGTTGTTGTGAAGACTGTAGTATACCATTTTGTAGAGGAGGAAAATGGACACGGAATAGTCAGCTGTTTTAGTGAGTTAGTGAAACAAAGATCAGAACTCACAGTGTATGCATTTTCTATATGTAGCCTTGCCTACTAAGTCCTGTTCCCATGAATATCAGTGAAAGTATAAGACACAGTTGTTCAGTTGTTTAGTTGTGTCCAATCCCTCATGACCCCATGATAAGACACAGACAAATGATTAATTCCATGGGTCAGCTTTGAAGGGAGTCACCTCATGTGTCCTGTAAATTTTATTTTATGATTCTGGGAACTACTGCCATGATGTTTGAAAGACTTATTCTTCCACCATTGGATCACCATCATGAAAAGAAGGATCCTTGTGCCAAAGGCAACCACCTCAGAGAGTAAGTGAGCTAGAAAGGTGATATTTTTAGAAGAATGCTTATTTCTGGCAGCGAAGGGACATACAGACTGTAGGTGGCACAGGAAAAAGAGTACTGGAAAAGGAACCAGGAATTGTGGGTTTTAGTGCTAGCTCTAGAATTAAATTTGGGTAGGTGATTTCCCTTTTGTGGGTTGAATTGTAGCTAGGTAGAGAGGACTGGAACTTTGCCCCAGGGCACTGGCAGTATTGGTATTCCTGTAGCAGGCAGAAAGAATTGTTCTTAGCATGTAGTTAAGATGAATAATCCATTCAAACTGGAGGCTACAAAATTGCCTGTCTTCTCACTCCTGCCAGTCATTTCTTAGGTGAGTTACTCTCTGGTTCAGTATGGCCTTGCATCTTCCTCCAATGGTGGCCTTCTCAGCACTGGTTTGGGGTATTTCAAGGTATTATGACTTTTCCTGACAGGGTGCTATCTTAGAATTTCTCCCATCATAAAACGTGGTAACCCAAGGTCTTACATCTCTCATCCTCAACTAAATTTGTTTCAGTAAGTTCATTTGAGGAGAGCGTTTGTGTCGTTGCCCTAGGAACCAGAACTGTTGCACATAGTTCTCCTTGGATCTCCATTTTCCACATCTGTAAAATGAAGGCATTGAACTAAGTGAGCTCAGAGACTTTCCCCTTCAACTCTAAGGAATTTTAAATTCTCTGCTTGATCCTGTGAAATAAATAGTATTGAAAACAAGAAAACCAAAGAGCAGACTGTGCTGATAATTCATCATCATCCACCATGCCTACAGTCCATCTCTACAAAGCCAAAGCACTGACTGCACCATTGAATGCAAGTTCAAATACCATGAGAAGACAGAAAGTATGCTTTTGTAGCTCCTTTTAAACTTTTAGTAGAAAAAATTTATACAAAAATCTTAATTTTAAAAAATACCATTAAATCATTCTAACTAGGAAATTATATGAATAGCTAATTCCATCACTCTAGTTTGTTTTATCTACATAAATTTGCCACTGTTAACCCAGTGCATAAATTATTTGTTCTGTTTACCACAAGCAACTGCAGTGTCTAGAAAAAAAATAAAATGAGTTTCCATAAATTAATCTCCAAAGTTTCACATCCATTCATGTGTCCTGTCATAATAAGAAGAAAAGAAAAAAAAGAGAAAAGAAAATGTACTCAGATCTCTTTGGAAAGAAGTCCAAGGAAGTTTATCATGTGAGAGGTTTAACCCAGAGGTTTAGGCTAGCATCACCCTCGGACCCACACCAAGAACAGACATGCTTGGTTCATTTAATCAGACAAAAACAACTGGGAAACACTCTTCTTTTTTTGGCATACACTGATGGCTAATTCCATTCTTTTTTTTCTCATTCATCTCCTTAGATATTATGGTGCCTGTCACTTCTACAGTCACTTTTAGGCTCTACAAGTGGAGTACGCTGGCATGGAGGGTGGTGAGGGAAGGGAAATCCAGAAGTGAGTCTTGATGTAAGGTGTAATGTCAGAGAGCCACAGATAGTACATTTACCTAGGCTGCTCGATCTCTATGATCACCCTGACCAAAGGCAACTCTGATATGCTCCTGCCTCATGTGTTTTGAAGAAGTTAGACCTCTTACTAAGATCACAGAGCACTTTAAAGTTGTTTGCGGGTCACTCATGTCCATCAGGCCATTTCACCTTCTGAACTCATTTCTAGACAAACTGCAAACTACAACAGTATGAACTGTTGGTTCTGAAGGTGTGAGTACTGGTAGGTGAAGACAAGAGTCAGGCATCAGACAGTTTCTCAATAAGTCTGGGAGAGAGTTTAGAGGATAAAATGAGGCGCTGTACAAACTCAGACTGAAATGGGTCGTATTCTCTCAGCTTTGAAAAAAAATCACCCTGAGGAGTTTGGTTGGAAATGTTGGTTTTTTGTTTTTTGTTTTTTGTTTCTGTTTTTGTTTTAGTATCCTCCTTCTTGATTAAAAGTATCCTGGGGCTCCATGCCGAGGTTTCACAGCTGGACTTCTTCTTCTGCCCTGGGGCCATGGGCTGTCCTGACTAGGCATGTGCCTAACAACCCAGCATCTGGCAAAAGGGGAGACACAGCGGGAGACTGCATGGTCAGCAGGGAGAGAGAAGGAGAAAAACTGGGGGTCATGGCCGCCGGTGGACAGTGAAGGTGCTGGCGAAGGGGAGAACGTGGGTATTTTTCGAATGCTTTCCCTGGTGAGAGGCTTGGCATTCGTGGTGGCACTGCCTTTATGCCAGGCTGTGCTACTGATGTGATCAAAGGAGGTGGGAAAACAAAAGATTTCTTCCCCTGTGATAATCCAGGCACCTGCAAATGTTCATCTTTCAGCTTTGCAATGTCATTGAAGACAGAAGAAAGAGGCTGAAACTGGGGCTCCCAGTTGAGGAGGTAATCCCAGTCATAACTGCTTCTTGGATCCTTGGTGGGAGCTTCTAAAGTTGCAAGAGATCCGTACCTTGAGTCCTGATCATTTGAAATAAAGATATAATCTCTCCTAACATCTTCCATGAGGGTTTTCTCTTTCATTCCAATTTTGTGGAGTGTCTGGGACGGCATTTTATTTTGAGCATAAATGGAATCACACCTTTCTCCTACACCCTCAAAGGCGAAACTGTTCTCTAAGGTTTCAGCGGTGATCACCACATCTGTTTCCCCAGAAAGGCAAGAGAGCTGGTCAGAGTCTCTGGGTATTCCAGAATCTGGCACCCGAGACCCTCGGTCACTCGGAACTGAGCCGGAGCCCTTTCGGCAGGGGTATTCGTTGATCCTTTTGATCTCCTCATCCTCAGCAGTATCTCCTTCCACTGAGCAGTGGCCGCTTGAGTCTGAATGCCTGCAAGGATTCACCATATCCTTTTTCTCTCTCATATCTACTAAATCCAACCATTCAGACATGGAGCCCATGGGAAGAATGCCATTGCCCACATCTGGAGCTTTCTGGGAGTTCTTGAGGACGCTGGGATCGCTAGTCAGGCTCAGATTACTAGGTGAGGATGAGGGGACCTTTTTCTCCCCACAGGAGTTCACTGTGTCTTTTCGTTTATATCTTAAAAACAGGGCAACAAGGCTGATGACCAAGAGTAGAAATATGATGATGGAGGCTGTGAGGCTGATTGAAAGGCTGTCAGCAGGCAATGCATAGTATCCTCCCTGAGCAAAAGAGGACATATTTACAAAGATGGTGCAAGAGGAGGACTTAGAGTCTATTTTAGGACTGTGTGCTATTACCTTCATTTCAATGATGTCATCTTTCCTGATGCTGCTTCCCATAAAGGGAGGGTCTCCAACCCAGTAGACATTCCCACTGGTTTTATTAATAGATAAGAATGTTGATGAAGTTGCAAGGGTATAAAGCACAAGTCCATCAATTCCGGCATCAGCATCAGATGCTTCTACTTTGCCAATAACCTGTCTTATGTGATGAATCTCTGGAAGACTAAAGAAATAGTGGTCTTGTGTGAAAATAGGTTCATATTCATCAATTCCTTCAACATCCACTTGGACCATCAAAGTGGCTTTGGCCTCACCTTTGTCTTCTGCCTGAACAATGAAGCAGTGTTTATTTTCACTTTCATAGTCTAGGATATGCTTGGCATAGATATCCCCTGTTAATGGGTCAATAAAAAATAGGTCATGATCATGAAGGATTCCATGATTCATTAAACAGGATGACTGAATAGAGTATGTTAGGTGTCCATAAGGGCCAGCATCAAAATCCAAGGCATGTGCTGTACATATGATGGAGAAATTAGGCAAATTTTCAGGGACAACACAGTTCAAACTTGAGAACATGAACTGGGGGACATGGTCATTGTCATCTAAGACACTGATAAATACCGCTGAGAAAGCAAAATTATTTGTTCCTCTATTTGAGGCTTGGACAGTTAAGGTGAACATCAATGTGTCTTCATAATCCAAGGGTTTAATCAAAGTTATCACTCCAGTTTCCCCATCTACTTGGAAATGTCCTCGTTCGTTTCCTGAGATGATGGTGTAGGTGACTTTGGAATTGTCTCCAGTGTCATGGTCTTTTGCAGAGACCACAACAATCTGATTACCGACAGGCAGACTTTCCTTAACGTGGGCACGGTATTCTGGAGAGCTGAATATTGGAGGATTATCATTGACATCAAGCACATCTATTAATATGGTGGCTGTAGAATTCAATGGGGGATGACCATGATCAGAAGCTAGAATGATGAGTTTATGGCAGGCCATAGTTTCCCTGTCTAGAGGGTGGCTCAGGACAAGATGACCAACACGCTTGTAAGGGGATCCTGAGGGAATTACATGAGTTTCAACATGGAAAGTATTCTGCAAATTACTGCTGATGACAGAATATTCAACATGTGTGTTTTCATGGGTCCAGTCATGGTCGACAGCTGAAAATGTGAGCAGGGTGGTCCCAATGACTGCATCTTCACTCACGGTGATGTTATAGTACTCCACGGTGAACTGAGGGGCATGGTTGTTCACATCTTGAATTTCTATTTCCACCAAAGTAAGGGCTGTCAAACTAGGGATACCACCATCTTTGGCTTCCACAGGAAGTTGGATTGTTGATGTTTTGTCCAAAAGCATCACAGGTTTGACAGTAAATATGGAGCCTGAAAAATAAGAACCGTAACCATGTTTTCTGTGAGTTTAGATTTGAGGTATCTATTCAACAAAATTATTCATTCAATACAACTGTTTACTGAGAAAGAATTGTATGTATAGCACCATGTTAGATGCTATCATGTTTACCATTAACCACTCATAAAAGCATAGGACAAATTGTGACTCAATTGTTATTTTTTTAAAGCACATAAGTTAGATTCATCATATGTGCATATGTTTGCATATAAAAGTCTGATGATACATGTGTATGTATGTATGTATGTATGTATGTATGTATGTATGTATGTATATTGGCAGCTAGGTGGCACAGTGGATAGAGCACCAGGCATGTAGTCTGGAAGACTCATTTTCCTGAGCTCAAATCTGGCCTCAGACACTTACTAGCTGTGTGACCCTCAGCAAGTCACTTAACCCTGTTTGCCTCAGTTTCTTCATCTGTAAAATGAGCTGGAGAAGGAAATGGCAAACCACTCCAGTATCTCTGCCAAGAAAACCCCAAATGGGGTCACAAAGAGTCATACACGACTGAAATGACTGATCACCATGTAGGTATGTATATGTATATGTGCTTGTTTGTATACATGTATATTTGTGTATTGTTTTTTTTCTCCAGCATAAGAGGAGTTTGTACAGAAATGCTACCTGCATGAGGGGCAGTATAGCATAGTAAATGGAATGCTAAACTAGTAGTTAGGAGACCTGGGCTTGAATTCTGTCTCAGGCACCAAATGGGTCATTATGGACAAGTTATTTAACTTCCTGATGCCTCAAAGCTCTCTTATCTAAAAAGTGAACAACAATATTCACAAGTCTGCAAATAAGGAAAATGCTTCGTTAGACTTAAAGCGCCATATACATGTGTGCTGCTGTGGCTGCTGTTATTCTTCTTGGGTTAGTTAACTTCTTTCATCCCGGTGGCCAGAGCTCATTGCAACACTTTATGAGGCATCTGGGACACGGGAGTGGGGTGCGGGTGGGCAGTCACCTGGAGACCAAAGAACTGTCCAACTGTGTGATTGACTTTGAGTAAGTTATTTTGTGTCTCTGGGCCTCAGGTCCCTTATTCTATTAAAAGGGGTGGAACTGATGGAGTCTAAGGTCCTTGCTGGCTGTGAAATGATTTTGTTCTGTGATCTGCTTCAGGATTCTCTGGCATGTTATACAAGGTAGCGGATAGAAGGAAATTCTATGAATAATTTCTCATGTGCAATTAGGATCATCCAGTCATTGATATGGAAATAGAAGGGACCTCAGAGATCACCTAGTCTAACCCTGGGGAGGAAACTGAGGCCTGGGGAGGAAAAAGTGCCTTGTTCAAGGTTACCCAGACATTAAGCATTAGAGGCCAAGTTTGAACCCAGGCCTTCTGACCCCAGGGCCGGTGAATTTTCCCACCACTATACCACCACTGGTAAAAACTCTACGTAAAATTTTGTATAGTTAATCCAAAGCCAAAATTGTGGGACAAGCTGGTTTAGGGCAGCTAAAAGTCATCTCACATAGCTTGATAAAAGTCTCAGGTCATGCTTATATGTAAAACATGCCAACATGGAAATACTTTGTAAAGACTGCAGGAACAGGTACTGTAATGTAAGAAAATGATGTTGAAAAGAATTCTCTAAAGGATGCTATTGTCCCTTTCCCAAAACCATTCCCTTCAGGTCAATATGAAATTTCATTCGTATGATTGTTTTTATGTCAGTAAAATATGTTTTCTGTATCTCATTGTGGCTAGAAATAGGTAACAAATGACAGTCACTTGATGACACATATATGAATGGTACATAAACATGGAAAATATATTTAGATTAAAAAATGAAATATTCATTTCCATTACAGTTTCGTTAATAATGAAATCAAAATAATTTTAAAGTATTTGGTTTTTGACAAACAGGGTCCATTCAATTGTATATGTGTGTAAATTTGCACAGTACACTGGTCCTGGGTACAGAAAATTGGCAAGTTCAACGTGGATCCTAAGCTTTCATATAAAGACCAAGAAAATGGAATATAACATTCTCTATCAAGCAAGGGTGAAAGATTGAGTGGTTGTTAAAAAAAAAAAAAAGAAAAAAGAAAAAATTGTACATGTCCCTATTCCTAAAATTGGCTTCCTCTTCTTTCTTCCCCTCCTCCACAAGATGGGGGCTGATTGTCTGGTCATGACATCTGCCAAGCACACCAATGCTTAGGCTGCATGCTGGTTTTTGTGATTTTCTTTTCCCTTCAAGTTATTATGTATACTTACTTTAACAATATTTCCTTTACAGAAAGGTTTTGGGGCAAGCCATATAGCATGATTTTCTCCAGGCCCTTTATTCTCCTCAAGGGATGATCTTGTTGGGGAAAATTATATCTTACAAAACTCAGTTTCAAGTATTCATCTACAATTTTCACTGTTTAATAACCATCTAGATAAAGTTTCAGCTATACCAGTTATAAGTCAATAACTGCAAAGCTTCCCACAACCACAAAGGTATGTGTAATTAGCAAAAATGTGTAAGAACCTTGCAAGAAGCACATCAGCCAGAATACCAAATGTTACAAAAGATTTCTGCTTTTTTCTTCTTTTGTTTTTTAACTATACAAAAGGAGAAAGATGGCTCAACTTCGGAAGGACCATCTAAAGCTTCATAATTTATCCCTCTTCCTTTTATGGATGAGAAAACTGAGGTCCAGAAAAGGCAGGTGACTTACCTGAAGTCACATAGGTAATAAATGTCAGAGGCAGGATCTGAACCCAACTCCTCAGACCCCTGAGCCAGTACTCTTTCAATTGTATCGCACTGACAACTACAACTGACTACTTTGTACCTGGCTTGAAGGTAAACAAAGTCTGTAGGAGCATTAGCGCTTCTGCTCTAAACCAATCCCCTTGACTGCAGAGTTCAACTCAGGCAGAGTTTTGCCACAACAGTTCTGGGATGTTTGCTGGAATTATACTTGGTTTTATGAGTAGAGTGTTACTGTCTTGGATACCTTGAGCCTTTGTGTATTTAGAATATAGTCACCAATCCTCTATTTCTTTCCAGGTATGGCTAAGGTGTAACAGAGGAAAAATAGCACTGAATCTGGAGCCTGGGACTTCCAGATTAACGGGAATTTTGTGGCTTTACTTCAGTGAATGCAAGCCAAGCCACATTTGGAAGAGAGGTTTTCCATTTCCCACTCTTTGACTGAAACTGATGAATTTTGCAGGCCCTGAAAATAACTCACCATTCTGAGGATCAATTGAAAATCCGTCAGCAGAAGAAAGGATTCTGTAGGAAATCCTTCCATCAATTCCTGTGTCCTGATCTGTGGCTGACACAGTCAAGATGGAGGATCCTACAGGCATCATTTCAGGCAATGTGACCTGTATCCAAAAGAGAAACAGGAGATTAAGAAGACATAATTTGCTTATGGGCTAAACATATTTTCTTGGACAAATGATAACTGGGGTGTTTTTGTTGAGGAAATATTATCCTGTGCCTTTCTTTGGACATGCTGCTTCTCCTGATTTCCTTAAGCTGCACTAACTTTGTTGAGTTGAGATATTAAAAGATAAAAGCAGAAAAGTTCCAGGATTCAGGGCGAACTTTGCCTTATTAACTCCATCTTTGACCTATTTTCTTTCCAAAATAGCTCCACAGGTTGGAGGAGATTCAATCGCTCACTCTTTCTGTGTGTGTGTGTGTGTGTGTGTGTGTGTGTGTCTTCCCCACAAAACACTAAGGCCCTCCAGAGCATTCCAATGTCTTCCCATGCTGTCTTTATACTTGCACTGTGCATTTATGACATGAAAGAAACCTGAAGGCCATTCTGAAGTGGCAAATTGTGGTCTGTCATTGTCCCTAGTCCTGAAAATGTTTGAGAAATCAAACATCACTGTGTGGTTCACCCAGTAGATTATGCCCACAATTAGTTGCTTCTGCAATAAACCATTTAGAACATTCACCAAATCTGCTGAGAAAAGAAAAGATTCTCTTCACTCCAATATTTTTAAAGATGCAAAGCCTGAATGAATAGCAGATGACACAACTGTCCTCAATTTACAAAAACTGAAGTCTCAACGTTGGAGTGCAGCAAAAAGCCTGCTAATATCATGGGAAGTGTTAGGCATTTTACAAAAAAAAAAGTGTAGTGTCAAAAATAATCTTTAACAACATTGGGGGAGCCCTAGACATGTGCAACGAGGTTGGTATAGGCATTGCACGAGAAGGAAATTGAATGAAATATTCAACTCCAGCTGTAGTCACATTAAGCACACCTCCTGTCTTAGACAATATTAAATATTCAAAAGAGTGTGTTACTGAATGGTGCCTGCCTAAGCCATCCCTCAGCAATAGAGATCTTGGACTATTCCCTACACTCCTGAGCTTGGGCCATGGTATCTATAGAACTGTAACCTCATTACCTGATAGAAATCTTGGGAAAAGAGTGGGGGGTTGTCGTTGACATCCATAACGTAGACCATGAGCACCGCTTCCGTGTGGTGCACAGAGTCCGAAACCTCAACCAGTAGCTCATATTCATGCCCTCCTTCAAAATCCAATGGCTTTACTAGCATCACCACTCCAGTGTTGTGATCAATTGCAAATCTACTGCCAGGGTTACCCCCCTTAGTGAAACTGAAGACAAGAGCAGGGTCTGAATCTCTGTCATGAGCAGACACTCGAGTCACAACAGAACCAAGTGGAATACCTGTAAAAGTGACAACTGTAGTCAGCCATCATTAAGACCCATTTACTCATATGATCATAAATGCACCTTTATCTTGACCCTTTCCTGGAATGCTTTCTGGTGCTCAGTTTTACATGAACAGAAGAAAGGTTCTAAAGTGACCTAAAAGATAACCTTGTCCCTCTGAAGATAGATTGGAAGTGAAGGTATTAATTAGTATTAATCTACGTTTTGAAATACTCTAGGGATACTTAACCCCAAGATGCATGAGCCAGTCCAGTTCAAGAGAGCCCAGAATACTTACAGTGTGCCAGTTAAGACACATAGCTCTTGGGGCAGCTAGATGGCTCAGTGGACAGAGCACTGGCCCTGGATTCAGGAGGACCTGAGTTCAAATCCAGCCTCAGACACATAACACTTAATAGCTGTGTGACCCTGGGCAAGTCACTTAACCCCATTGCCTAGCCAAAGGGGGGAAAATAAAGAAGACACATAGTCCTTGTAACAAAATTCTGAATTCCTTAGATGAGATTTTTTGTTCTCTAAAGTAGTCCTACATACTTTAAAGCTGTAATTACATCAGTGGAACTCATTCCACTGATACCAGTGGCAAGCTGCCTTCTCCTTTCTTCGAGATCTCTCTAGCATATCACCTTGTGGATAAGGAAGGGTCTTCTTTATGTTAATTGTTTACAAACTACATAGCAGCAGGTTCCCTGTTTCCCTCTTCTTAGGGATGTTCTAGGAAAGAGCTGGGGGGATGGAGCGGAATGTCAATCTGCTTTGCATTTCTGTTGCAGTCTGATAGATTTTTGCCTTGGGAAGAGATGAATACATTGAAATAATGGGCATAGGCAGCAGATTTAAGACCCATATCACCTACAAGGAGAACTAGTACATATCACATATATTATATATAAGGCACATATCATATATATTTTATATAATGCATATATAATGATGTAAATATACATGCTTATATGTATATATGAATATAAACATATATGCATATTTATTTCATGTATATTTACGAAAAAATTCTTAGTATCATCAAAATGACATTAATATCTAGCAACTGCTTTCTTGGGCTATCTTGGGAGAAAATAGTTGGCAAAATGGCCCTGGAAACTATTTCCCCACCCACTTCCTTACACTTTGTGTTACTGACCTATTGTACTGACACAGGTTCCCAAAAGACCTAATTCAGATAGAAAGTTAAAACCCACTAGAGCAGGAATATTTAATCTGGGATTTGTGAACTTTTAAAAAAATTGATAATTGTATTTCAATATAATTGGATTCTTTTTAAGTCTCATATTTTATTTTAGGCATTGAAAAACATTATATTCAAAAACATTTTTCTGATAAAGGGACTACAGGATTCACTAGACTGCCAAAGTGCTATATGACATAATTAGGCCCTTAGATACATGGTTGTGATCATGTGATCACCCAAATATGACTCTCTGTAAGTAACTGAACTTTAACTGCTCTTCATGGGGATGGCCCAATTAAAACAAGGACCTTCGCTTTAGCCTCTTCAATTAACAGGAATCAAAACCACCATCTTAGGATTTCCACACTTACTTTCTGGAACTTCTACTCGTTCAGAAGGGAGGAAGGCTGGGATATTATCATTGAGGTCTACCACTTGGATTTTGACCACAGCTGTAGCAGAAAGCCTAGGCATCCCTTTATCGGCAGCTTGGACAATCAAGCTAGTTTGAGGAAGAAATTGGGATGAAGAAAAACAACGTTAATATTAAATATGCAGAAGAAGATGAATAATGAGCTGAGTAGCTACTTATTTTTCCCCTGGCACTGCTTTTTTCCAAATCACATTTTTGAAAAAAGAAGTATATATTTTGATACAAGAATGAAAGACCGGAATTTATTTTTTTTGACAGGTTTGGATAATCGAGTCCAGCAAGCCTCAACAGATTAAAAAGTGTTATGTCAAAACAAATGAAGAACTTCTGGGAAACAGTCTGTAGAATTTATTCCTCTCCCAAAGAGTGCTCTGGATAAAGAGATGCCTCCAGGAACACTCTTCATACCTTCTCCAACCCATCAAGTTAAAAACATGACCAGGAAACTGCTGATATATTCATCTCACTGTCAAAAAACATAATTCCTTGAGTAGAACCAGAAGAACAGTGCACATAGTAATGGCAATAATGCATCATGGTCAACTGTGAATGGCTTAGCTGTTCTCAACCATACAATGATGCAAGGCAATTCCATAGGACTCATTGAGAAAAATGTTATCCACCTCCAGAAAAAGAACTGATGGAGTCTGAATGAAGATCTAAGCATACCATTTTTCACTTTATTTTTTTCCACATTTCTTTTTTGGCCTGTGTTTCCTTTCACAGTATGACTAATAAGAAAATATGTGTTGCATGATTGCACATGTATAATCTATATCAAATTGCTTGCTGTCTCAGGGAGGAGGGAAGGGAGAGAGGCAGAAAGAAAATTTAGAACTCAATTTTTTTAATGAATGTTAAAAATTGTTTTCACATAATTGGGGAAAAAATAAAACATTATTCACAAAAAAGAAAAAATACAACTGCAAAAGAGTTGTTTTGCATTGAGATTTTTCAGATTCATATTCAAAACATTTAAAAAAGTGAGATTCAAAATATAAGACCATCATCATGTCATTTAATATTTGCATAACATTTACGAGTTTTCAAAGCACTTCCACATCTTACTTCAATGAATATTCACAGAAACTCCAGAAGGTGGGAAATGTTGGAATAATTATTATTCTCATTTTACAAATGAAGAAAGTGAGGCTTAGAGAGGTATCTAAGATCCAAGATTCAGCTAGTGCTAAGTGGCAGATTAGAATGAGAATTCATGTCTTCTCACATTTTGTCCTGTGCTCCTTTTCATGACATCGTGCTATTATAATTAGCAGCAATTAAATATATACTATTAAACTTCAAAGGGTTAGCTAGCAAGGATCAGAGCCCCTGGTCTTAAAGAGTTACAGTTTAACAAGGAAGACAATGGAGATGTGAGACATCATGATGAACTTGTAAATACAAATCCCAGGACCCAAAGTCAAAGCCTGACTCTACTATTTACTGTGTGCATGACCTTGAGGGAAATTGCTTAACTTCTCTGGACCTTGGTTTCCTTATCTATAAAATGAGGAGGTTGGCTCAGATGATCTCTAAAGCTCCTTCTAACTGTAGATCTTGGGCCCATGAAGATAAGTTCACAGCACAGATTTACACGGACATGCCTGGTAGGGAGAAAAGCTTGGATCGCTATCAAGCTTGCTTGTATTTGCTACGGAAAGGCTTCACTCCCAATGAATAACTTCACAGACAATGAAAACAACACTGACAAGTGGCATAGCTCTAGAAGTGAAGGCCAGACATTTTGAGGGGACATCATTCAATAGCTGAGGTCATTAGAGGTGCTAAGTCAACTCAGAGATTAACCCAAGAAGACCTCATTCCAGAAATGGGCATCAGACTCCCTTAGCTGCCAAAACTGCTTTTAGCAAAGCAGATCCTGTCCAGCTGTCACACTTACTTTCTCCTGATCATTAGAACATATGAGGTTTTTTTTCCTTCCATGTCATATATTTCTAAATGAAACTACAAATAGATATTTATACTTTTCTCCATATTGTAATGCTATGTCTGGGTATCAAGGGTATTAGTGATCTAATCCCTGGATACTCCTGCCATTCACAAACAACCCAAGCCGCCTGCTGGATGCTCACAGTTTAGGGTCATTCAAGAGAACACAGAACTTGAATCATAAAATTCTGCTCAGTTGGGGCGCAGGAATAATTCCACATAGAAGGATTTATTTTGTGAACATCCGTAAGGTACACATGGAAATATTTTACTAAAAATAATCACCTTCTAATGTTTCTCTGAAGAAAAGGAATCTTATGCTGGTATCTTAGCCAAGGCATCAAAGTGGATATTCTGTCAGCCCTTCCCCTATAACCAGCCCTATTTTCAGGCCCTTACAATGTTTTGGGGGAGTTGAGGGTGGAAGATTACATACAATGTCTATGTCAGATGAAAATAAGTAGAAATCTTTGATATAGAGAAATATATATCATTTAGTTTTGAAGTAAGAGGGCAAGTGAAGGGTGACTCAGAGGCTCAGGGGACAAGTGAAAATTATGGCTGCAGCTCTGCCGACTTCTGAGAGGCATCAAGTGGTTTATGATAGTTTCTTGGCAGCCTTTGGGAAATTAATTGGTTGTCTTCCATCCAACTGGCCATATGCACAAGGAGAACCACTGGCTTGACTGTGGCGTCAGCAGAAACTGCAAATGAATCTGCCTGACTTTAGAGGGGCCCCTTTCCACTCGGGTTCAGTCTTATTGTTTGACCAATGATGGTCAAACAATCTTCTCTCCATGCCATGCCAACACCCAGAATCAGAACTTCAATTGCACAAGCTCTCAATTATCATTGCTATGATTCCGCTCCCCACACCCCAAATCTTCCTTTAGGCCGCAATAGGGATTTGTCAAAATTCTCTCCTTACAGAAGAAAATAATCCAGGTCTATTTTTAATTTAATACCAACCAAGACCAGAAATGATTGATAAAAGAGGGTTATGTTGACTGAGAAATGCAGTAAATTGCTGGCTGACTCAGAAGCATACTCATCAGATCCATGAAAGTAGGAAGATGCCTCACTGACTAACCTACAGCTAATGTTGTCTCTATACACAGATACTCAAAAGGGGCTGTGAGATCAGTGATGTGGATACTGATCTCAATCCCTGCCCACTTGCCCATTCTGGGTAGCTCTTGTCTATGTCCTCCTATAAGATTTAGGAGGTCAACCCAACATGTTGGAAATCTTTTTCATCTCTGCATATCACAAGACTCCCAAGAGAACACATGGGCTAGCCATCAGTCATCCCTCAATCTCACCATGTGACCAGCTCATCTTCTTTTTAATGATGACTTTCCTTTGAAGACATTTTTTTTAACTTGGTTTCTTCCTTGTAGGTGCTTATTAGTTCCATATTGAAGACTGTTCCCCCTACCCCACCCTGTACCAATTCTTTATCCTCTTCCTGATACTAGTTTTAAAGTTTTCAGGAATACTTATGTTTCATGATTTGTAGCCATAATACACATTAATTAAATACATAATTAATATGGTTTTGCCTTCCAATATTTAGGAGGGCTTTTGGGGAATGCTTTTAGTAGCTTAACTCTCTTTTTGATAAAAGATGTCAGGGAAAATTTGGATTGATGCTTTCTTTTCCTCTTAATAAATTTTCCTATAATTTCCTATAATTATTTATATATTACACATTCCTATATATATATTCTTATATAATATATACTATTCTATATATATATTCCTATATATAATTACATTCCTATATAATTCCTATAATTTTCCTACAATAGAGACATCAAAAAGTCCTCCTCTGATCGTTCTTTTTATGCCACCTATTATTTAGAAGCCTGAAATGAGGAGTTGAGTTACAAAGCTTTAGTTTTCTTATTCATCTTCTTTTCTTTGCTTCCCTAAATGGAGGAGGTCTCTACCAATGATCATGTTATACTAATACCTTATTAATATCTTGAAGCACTTGTTATTTCAAAGTCCAGTAGTTTACTCACATCAACTCTTGGTGCAGCATCCTTGCACGTAGGATCTTTGAGGCCTCGAAGTTCTGTTATAAAACGATGGAACCATGTAGGTGCATGTAGGATCTTTGAGGCCTCAAAGTTCTGTTATAAAACGATGGCACCACGTAGATGCGTGTAGGATCTTTGAGGCCTCAAAGTTCTGTTATAAAATGATGGCACCATTTCCTCTGACCTCCATTAACTTGGGATCCATTGATCCCATCCCAGGGTTTACTAAGATTTTTGACTTCATCCAAAATTAGAAAGTCCTTCCTTAATTCCTTTAGGAGAAGTCCTCCTTTCTGGCTGGTTATTTTGCTGGCTTAAGCAAAGATTTTCCTTACATAATAGGCCTCGAATGACCCTCTGATCTCAGGGATGGATCAATGATGTTTCACTAGAAGCAAGAAGATGACCTAAATGTTAGGACAGAAGTCACCAAGGGAATTCAGATAACCTGGGGCATTGCCCAAAATCAACAGTTCCTTGAGTTTAAAATTGTTATTTCTACACTTCTCTACAGATGGGAAAATATAGTTTCAAAAAAAATCGGTCCTTAAAAATGATGCAGTAACCCAAGCTTGGGGTTTATATTTCTAAATCACTGGAAGTCTGCCCTTCACATAGCCCTCATGTGCCCTAATGTTCTACAAATGAGACCCCAGCATAGGTTTTAATTAGAAAACATTGGCAGCATTGAATATTGGCAATGGAGTTCATCTACCCTTCCCTAGTTAAAATTCAGGAACTGATTTCTCCTTCTTGGCAATGTAAATCTTAGGGAACATTTTTTCTTCTTGTTGTTTCCAAAAGAGTCCTCTGTTGTCAACATTAAAAATATGCCTGGAATATCTCCACCACCCCCACCTCTACCCTTAATGATCTCAGTTAATTTATTAGAAAAACCACTAGTTGCTTCCATGTCACTTACTTCTTCAACCTGCACACTCCAGCCTGCCTTTCCAGACTTATTACACATTTTCCCTTTGGTGAACTCTATCATCTTACCCAAATGGCTTACAACATTCTAGCTCCTAACTCTGCCCTTGAACAAGCTATTCTCCATGCATAGAATGTACTCCCTCATCACTTCAGCTTAGAAGGATCCCCACTTCCTTTCAATGACCAATTTAAGTGCCATCTCCTCTAGCGTGTCTTTCCTGATCTCTGAGCTGTCCATCCCCACCCCCGCCATTTTGAATATAGTTTGTATTCACTTAAAGGTATACACGTTATTCCTCCCAAATGCTTCTGGAGGGAAGAAACCATTTCATTTCGTTGTCATTTCCCCAGTGCCTATCAAGAAGCTAGACACAAGTAGATGTTGAAAAATGTCTATCAATTATTTGATTAGTATAATATAAAAATATTATAATAATAAATTAATTAATTTAATTAATTATTATTAATTAACAATAAAAATTAATTAATTATAAGAATTAATAATAAAAATTAATTAATTTAATTAATTATTATTATTTAATTAATAATAATTTAAAAAGTATAAAGCAAGTTTTTCTCTAACTGGGAAAGTTCTCTCAAGGAAAGAATTCCCCACTCTCAAGACCCTATATCATGAAACATCTAAAAGGAATGAGGAAAAAACAAACAAACAAACAAAGGTCTAGAAGCAAACGGTAAATGTTTCTTGAAGAATTAATACATCCATATAGGCAGTCAAAAAAGGCAAAAAAATGCCTTTCAAATTCAAATGAATACAACAAAAGTCAATCTACAATCCTAAGCAATAGGAAATTCAGAAACAAGGGCAAAAGTCACACCAAAGGATTCCAAATCCTTGACAAACCTGTAGGAATTGGTTTCTTCATAGTCCAGAATTGTATTAGTTGCTATTACGCCACTTGCTGCATCAATATGAAATGCTCCATCCTGGTTGCCTAAGAGGATTGAATACTCAATTTGCCCATTCAATCCACTGTCAAGGTCAGCAGCAAAAACCTATGGAATGCAAATCTTTAGTTAGTCCACCTGTGCTTCAATGTGTCAAAGATCTGTGAGCTCATTGATGTGGGTATTCCCAGCACCTCACCTGGAAGACTTTCTCTATGTATGTCACAAAAATTACAACAAAGTTGCTTAGCATTGAGATTTTATCTCATGCAAATTTAAGTGACAGTTGGGGAAATTCTGTGCATAATTCTGTCAGTCAATGACCCCAGCAAGGCATGAAGCCCCCTCAGACAGTGGCACACATGTAACTCATTCAGAATTTTGGGCAATGGGGAAACATAAATGTTAATTTAAAAAAAAATGAAGTCTAACTTCCTCGAACATTCTGTTCCTGAACTGAAGATTCAAATGGAACAGTGCTCAAACTAGTAGGTAGCACCAGAAAAGGAAGCCAACCAGAAACAAGGTGGAACACGGAAGGTTAGAGTTAGAAGTTACTTCAAAGGTTTCCTAATTTAACTGCCTCCTTTTGAGGCCAGTAAGGTTGACTTGAAGCTAGAAGACCTTGACTTGAGTACCAGGTTAGCTGCTTACTGGTGACATGAATCCTGACAGATGCCTTTTCTTTTTATCTCTATTTCCTGATCTTACCAAGAGGTTAGATTCGATCATCTTTAAGCAACTTTCTAACTATAATATTCTTTGAAGATAGTTTCACTTTCATTCTGGAGACTTGCTGGAGGTGACATGGTGGGTTAGTGAAGAAGCTAAGAGTAGATCCTAGGTCTTTGGACTCTTATAAAGATGTTCTTTTCCTTAAGCTAGACTACTTTCTTGACAAGTACATAAGGCCTTAAAATGGCAAAACATACATATTTTCTTCTTAACCTTTTTTTTCTAGGCAAAATAGCAAAAGTATTACTAGTAAATAAACAAGGTAATAAGTTTTTATTCGTTATAGAAGTTTGAGTTTAAAGCTATCTCTAAAGAGGTTGACATAACCCAAAGAAATTGTGGGGTGTATATTTTAGAGAAACTTGATTCTCAACAAGCAGTCATTTGCTGACTTCTTCAGGCTGGATTGTAAATAAACACAATGGGTTTGCATCATTTTCCACAGGCATTTAGCATCTAGACTTAATAACATCTCAAACACAGAAAACTAATGATTTTTGTGGAGGAGAACAAACAATGCTCCACTACTTTCGCATTTTTGAGATTTGGGTCCTATAAAAGCAATAAAAAAATCTAATAACATGGTGGTTTGATTTTCCACTACATTTGGATTTCATAATAAAGTCCCGGACTGGGTGGCAACCAGATTTACAAAATGGAAAAAAAATGACTGTAATCTGAAAAGTGACATATACCAAATTTATTTTAAAAATCTCACAGTGAGGTAGGAATGCAGGGTCTATTTGTCCCAAAGCATCTTTATTATCTAAAGGAGACAGAACATCTAATGGAATAGGAGAGTAACTAGACCTCAGATTCCACTGGTATTGGGAAGTCCTAGGTGTGGAAGCTCCCTCTACCAATGCAGGTCATTCTACTTCAACATGTCAGTTGAAATCTCAGTTTTCTCATCTCTAAAATGCTTAGGCTAAGCTTGATTGTCTCAAAGGGCTCTTCTAAACCTGTATCCTATGAAACCCAACATAGCTGGAAGTCATGGAGTCTAGATTCACCACCCAGATATCTCCAGGGTGGAATAACTCCTATCTGGGGTTATACCTGTATGTGCTATTGTTATTAGAAGGTGAACTCTCCACAGTTATGGAGTGGGAAAGGAATTCCTACTGGGAATGGAATAGGGAGCCTTCTTTTTCTTTGATATTCTGTGGGGAAGAGGGCATTGGGAAATACATCATATGATGCCAAGAGGGGAGAATTGTGACATTTACTATTTTAATTTTCTCCCATACCCTTATTTTTCCTAGTGAGCTTAAAAGACTGTTACCTCTGTCAGTTTCTACTTTTGTGATTTGGGGAAAATCCCTTAGACCTCAGTTTCCTGTTTTGTAAAACAAGTGAATTAGATTAGATGGCCTACGAGTTCTCTTCCAGTTATAGGTCTATGATCAATTGTGCTTTAACACATACCAGAACAATGAAAATTTTATTTCAAAACATTCTTTGCATCTTGAAAACATTGCAAGTGTGTTCTCACCAGAGGTCCCTCTAGGCAGCCTGAGACAACATTCATTCCATTAGAATCTGATGAGTATGCTGGTATACACCCAGATGGGAGTCATTCCCATGGGTGGCCAATTGAGACTGCCAGTCATGTTATTTTGGAGGTGGCTTCACACGATGCAGATCTAGAAGAGCCTTTCGAGACAATCAAGCCTAGTCTAAACATTTTAGAGGGAGGGAGCTGAGGTTTCAACTGACATGTTGAAGGTCACATGGACAGTAAATTATCAGAGGCAAGATTTAAACCCTGATTCTCTGACTCTCAGCACTCTTGTAACACACTGACATCCATCTGAACCCGTAAAGATGCTTGGAGATTTTCAACAATACAGGAAGACTCATTTGATGAACGTAGGTCATAGGTATTTTAGTGTATATTTTAATGGGAAAAAACGGTTATCAAATCATATTGTGTTACCTGCATGATTTGTGTATTGAAGGGCTGTCCTTCCGACACTGATGCTTGGTAAGTGCTTGCCTGAAAAACTGGTACATTATCATTCGCATCTTGTACTAAGATAGCCACTTTGCAATAGGTTGTATGCCAGCCACTTTCAGCCAAAACAATGAGGTTAATTTCATTTCTGACCTCAAAATCAAGAAAAATTGGCTCCTGCACAGTGAGTTCACCTGTAAGAAACAAAAGTATGCTATGACTATATACAGATGTGGTATGGAAATGATAGGAAAGATGCACTTTATAGTCATCACTCCCTAAAAAGCAGCTATTCCATAAATTTACAATGTAATTTTTAAGCTGGAGATATACCTGAATAGGAGACTAAGTAATACTAATCACATTTTTCTAGTGCTTCACAACTTACAAAGAGCTTCTTAAAAATCCTGACAACTATCCCATCAGCTGCTGATGAAATGCCACCAAGCCAGGTTAGCTGCAACAATAGCAAGGCACCCTCAAGGAGATTGAGGAGGTAACATGTGCCAAAAGTTAAACCACTCTCACATCCATGAGCCTGAGGCAGCCAGCCTCCTCAAACTAAAGGAGACAGACTTCAAAAGGCAAATCCTCCCTCTTAATGGTATTTTAAATCCTGCCTTTCTACTTAAATATGTCTCTTTTCCTTTTCCTTTCTCACGTACAACAAAATCGGGGAGTAATACCCATCCATGGGTTTGACATGTCTATGAGACACATTGGGTAACGAAATGATACATTTAGAACTGGAAGGGGGTCAGAGGTCATCAAGTCCAAGCCCCTCATTTTACAGATGAGGAAAATGACACGGAGAGGTTAAGTGACTTGCCCAAAATTAGGGGTAGAGTCAGCATTTGAAATCAGATCCTCTGCCTTCAAATCAAACAGTCTTTTCCCTACACCATGTTGCCTTGTTATAGGTTCATAGGACACAAGGTGTAGATAGGGGCAGGTGAAAAAGAAACTGAAGCCAGCAATGTACTTGGAAATTGTGCTATTAAGTTGGCTGCTCTAGCTCTGCTCCTCCTACCAATTCCACTTCCCTGGTGAACCAATCTACCTCTAGATTCAGTTCAATTCCAAAAGCATTTATTAAGCATCTACTATATGGCAGGCATTGTGCTAGGTATTAGGGATACAAAGACAAAAAAAAGTGAAAAAGTCCTTGTCCTCAAGGAGTTTACTTTCTTTTTAAAATTAGATTTTAATGTTATCTTTTTTATTTACATCACCTAGGTTTACATCACCTCATTCCTTCCAGAGATCCATCTCTTAGAACAAAGAAATTTTAAAGGAAAATAAAATCAGAAAGAAAATAAAATTCAGCAAGACTAGTCAATAGTATTTTTTTTAATGTGCTATTATGTGCAATGCTCCACACCCATTAGGAGCTTACATTCTAACAAAATATTCAGTCAAGAAAATATAGAAGATATATAGAACAGAAGACATTTGCTGGGACATCCAGGGAATAGCATGCCCACTTAGATATGGTTTCTTTGTTCCACTTTTGAAACAGAGAGTGTTTTGGGGATTTCATCATTTATACTCTGGCCTTGGGTGTTCAAAATGCTATTTTCAATTTTTTCTTATTATTAACCCTTATTTTTGCATTTTCATATTCAAATAATTTGCTATTTTAGAACCAAAACCCAATCATTTTCCCTAACCACAGTCAATTGTTACCAATGTCCCCGACAGAAAATTCAGAACAGACTTCACATGTGTTAGCAGCAGAATCTCTAAGATCTTTTGTGATGGGTTGGTGATGAAAGCAAGTGGTCTTCAGTACATTTTGAGGCCCACATGTCTGAGGGGTGTACAGGGAACGCCAGCAGCTCAGAGGAGCTCGAGTCTGAGGTGGGTCTGAGATGGAAGGTGCCCAGCCTGGGCTTTGTTTCCATCCACAATAGAACACTTGACATGGTATCATATTCTGTTACTGTTTATGTAGGAAAAATAGTAATAGAAATGCAATATAAAATTGTTGCAGTGTCACTTTGTAGAAAATGTGCCAATTACAGAGCAGATCAAAGAGCATTTTTTAAAATAAAAGACTTGTGTTGGGGCTTTGATAATTGGAATTTTGCACTTGGAGCAGCTCTGCAGCTCTAATGCTTTCCTTGTCCTGTTTTATTTTTGGTGTAACAAGTGGCATATGACATGAAAGGTCTGCAAATCGAGATGCGCAATAGGCAGTCTGTGAAACAGTTCAAGGCTGGGACTTCCATTCGGCTGGCATTCTCCCCTCAGATAGCCAGAAAAAAGTTCTCAGGGACTTCAAAAGGGAATTGTGGGAAGTGAATTATAAGTAGGATCAGACTTTACATTACACCAGCAAGAAAAACACTGAAATCTGTATTTCTCCAGGGGGGAGAAGACATCATTTGCCATACCTCCTAATGTGTAGCATGATATACAAGTAACAGTTCCACTGTGTTTTACTGCAAGTAAATCAAATGTTACTGATATTTTTCTCTTAAAATATACATAGAAATACACACACATCACAGGGAAATAGTCTACTCTTGATATTAATTGTTTTTCTTTTAAAAAAAGTGATTAAACAAATATATTGATACATATATAAATGCAGGTGTATGTATACATTATATAATATTGTGTGTATTTATATACTACACAGTACAAAATAATAAATTATGTTACTATGGTATGTATATAATTTGTGTGTGAATATATGTGAAAACACATGTGTGTATTTATATATGTATATTTATTTAGTACAGATCTATAATCTCTTCAGTGTTGGGAACTCCCAGTATAGAAACTTCCTCCACTGATGCCCATCAGCAAAATGTCTTTAGGTTATAACTTCAGAAAGTTGCTTGGGGCACTGAGAAGTTAAGTGATTTGCCTACCGTCACTTAGCTAATATGTGCCAAAGGTGGGATTTGGCTACACTATTTTGTTATGCAACTCGTTTTATGTATATATGTGTATATATATATGTATATATATATGTATATATATGTGTGTATGTAATATTATGTATATATACATATATAGTTGCGTGTGTGTGTATATATATGTGTTGCTACATATATGTACAATTTTCAGTGATGGCAAGACTATTAAGATACATTAAAAGAATGAAACCTCTCTAGAATATGTTATTTTCCAATGGCTTGTATAAATCATCAGCAGAACAGAGTTTCCCTAAATCCATGTCATACAGTACAGAGACAGATTGCAACATCTCTCAAATCAGTATGTCTATGGACACAACTCACTTGACAAATATTTCTATTATTCAAGAAACTTAATAGGTCCCTTCTCCTAAAATGACATCTTTGCAACATTGGCCATTTATGTTTCATGTTAACATACCAAATAATATGATTAATTTTACCATCTGTTATTCACATGAACATTCAGAGTCAAACAACTGTCAGAGTCCCACACATAATCCCCATTGGTTTAGCTAGTGAGTCACGGATTCTCTTAAGCAAGAGTGATGCATAAAGTTTGGAGACAGAATTCAACCCTGCAACGGTGGCTAGATCAAGTTTGGCTCAATAAGGATAGAAAAGAGCATTTTCTTCATATGTACACATACATACATACATGCATACATTCATGACTTCTTGCACTGATGACAAAGGAAACATTTTTCTTTTAATCACATCCCCTTCTCAGAAAGAAAGGGTATAACTGAAGACATTTATGTTGCTGACTTGTTACTGCTACTGCCACTTCAACTTGGCACATTACATTTGGCAAGGCTGTTGCAAAGATTCATTTGAGTGGTACATCTAGAGAAGGGGTTAGTGAGCTATGATGAGTGTGCCAAAGACATGCACAAAATGATTTTAGTAATATCGTCAAAGTTATAGTGAGATGTTTGGGGAGGAGTTGGATGTAAAATAGCAAAATATGCCTTAGGTATCATCTCTTCTACTTGATTAGATTCCTTTTACATCCCCCTTTTCTGTCCCCCTTTGGGCACTCTGATCACATTCCATTTCTGCTAACCTATGCCATGGTGAAGGCTGATAACCAAGATGTTTTGCAAATAGAGGAACACTTGAAGACTGACATTCCTGTTTCTGGAAGGAGAATTGGAGCAGGGCCGAGATTCTGAAAGGACATTGGGGAAAAAGCCAACCAACCAAACTGAAGGACCTGGATTTGGAGACCTCCCTTACCTAGAGCCTGTCTCATGTGAAGGTATGACTTCTTCTGCTCTCCATTGAATTGTCAGAGAAAATCAATTAACTCAACCCTCTGTAATGGAAGTGTCCTGTCAGTCAGTCAACAAGCATTTACTAAGCACTTACTGTGTCCTGGGTACTCTGCTAAGTGCTATGGATACAAAGAAAGGCAAAAATATGGTCCCTGCTTTCAAAGATACAGATAAATGCATAGATATAGATCTATACACACACACACACACACACACACACACACACACACCCCATTCTCTTCACCTTAGACATCTGATTTCTCCATATATATATATATATATACACACATACACCCATGGTGTGTATATATATATATATATAATATATATATATATACATACATGATATATGTATATAAAAGTTATATATTATCTCAACACACACACATATGTACTTATAAATATATACACATATATAGGCACTGTGTCTCTTTCGCTTTCTCTCTTCCCCTCCCTCCCTCTCTGTCAAATATCTCTGTAATTTCAGATCATCCTTCTCCTCTGCTCTACCCCTTCCCAGTCTCCTCTGTTATTCTCTGATCTCTCATTTCATAGCACCTTGGGAATCCGCATGCCATAATGAACAGCATTCCCTTAACTTTAGACCTGTTATTCCTCTCCTAATCTTTATATCTTCTTGTATTCACAGAAACCCAGACCCATATACTTGACCCTTCTATAACATCCTTGACATATGAGGCCCCTTGCTTCCACTGTGAGACCCTCTCTTTGCCACATTCCTCAGATGCCTCACTTACTTTGAGGTCACCCTCTCAACATCACCTTATTTAGATCCTAGTTGCTATTATCAACTGACCCCAAGTCATTCTCTCTCCTTTCTCAAAGAGTTGCCTACCTCTTTCACATTCTTCCTTCTCTACTCCAACCCCTTACCCTCATACTTGTGGACTTTTTTATATATTACTATCTCTGACACTATGGCCTCCTAACTCATCAACCTCCTAAACTACCATGATCTAAATCTTCATTTCCCCTCAACAGCTCACAAGGATGTTCACAGCTCACTATCACTTTAACTGTGCTATACCCATGACCAATCTGGAACTTTGAAATTCCTCTCTGATCACAACTTCTATCTTTCCATCTTTGCTTATGCTTCCTAAAACTATTACTGATTTTCACTGTAATCTTCAATCCCTCTGCCTCTCCAATTTTCCCTGTCCAGTTCAACTAGACTACAACTAGGTGGTCCAGTGGGTAAGAGCACTGGACTTGACATTACAAAGATTTACCTAAGCTCTATGACTCTGAGGAAGTCACTTAACTTCTTTCAGATTCAGTTGCTTCATCTGTTAAAATGAGATTAATAATAGCATCTAATTCATACTTATGAGAATCAAATGAAATAACATGAATAGCATTTTGTAAGTAGTAAAAAGCTATATAACTTATTATTATTATTATTATTATTATTTTTGTCTATAAGCGTTAAGTCCCTTCTCCACTTGTTCTATCACTGCTTATGCCTTGTTCAACCTCTATAGCTGACTTACCCTGATTAGGGTCTTAGAGGTCCTGAAATGGCACTGTAATGAGGTCTGGAGCATGTACAGAGTGTCTCAGATGAGGGGTCCCTATGTGGAGACACTAAAGAGCTGCTTCCTATCTCCATAAATTCTTTCATATCTATTGGCTTCTCTTCACTCAAGGACAGCTATCCAGGTTTAAGTCTTCATCATTCTTCATCTGTAATAACCTCACAATAATTTTCCCTGCTCCTAACCTCTTACTTCTTCAATCCATTCTCCATACAGCTGACAAAATAATCTTCCTTAAGTATGGGTCTGACCATGCCATTCTCTTTCTAAAAAATCATTGATAGTTCCCCATTGTCTCTAGGATAAAATACAAATATTCTAGCAAGTTATTTAAAAGACTTGGGACTTGGTTTCAGTCATTTTTTATTTCTTTTTTTATTTTTAATTTATTTTTATTGTTCTTTCATTTTTATTTTTATTTATTTCTTCATTTATTTTACTTATTTTTATTTCTTGTTACTATTCTTCATGTTTTTGATATTTCAGCTAAACTAGAATTCTAGTGATCCTTGAATTTGTTCTTGCACCTCCCTTCTCTATGCTTTTGCCTCAGCTATCCCCCTTGCCTGGAATGTATACTTGCCTCACTTCCATCTCTTAAAACCTCTAGCTACTTTCAAGGTTCAGCTCAGCTATGTCTCTTACATCTCCTGATCTTTTCATTTTTTACTGTTCTCCCTCATCAATTTCCCTTGCTGGTTCTTAACTGTGTACCCATTAAAAGCTCCTAGTACTCTGCCAGCTCTTTACTGTGCTTGCATCCCCAGTGTCTGGCACATAATAGATACTTACTGTTTATCAAATTGCATTAAATCATTAGAGTTGTCATTATCTCACTCTGGGACTAGTGGATAAGGCAGTCATTACCAATGGCTTTCCTCTCCTCCTGACTCTGTGTGTGTGTGTGTGTGTGTGTGTGTTCATTCTTTTCCCTTAGCTCTTAAAGGTCTGGCCAGATAGGAGCTCAAGGCTTGGGGGGGCTTTCAGCCAGAATGCTCCTGATATCATCTCTGAAGATGGACCATGGTGATAGAGTATATAAATGACAACTTTGCATGCAAATCTGAAAAGTTTGCTGGCCCCTAAGCCGGACCCCAAAACTCATTTTATTCAACCCTGGTCCCCTACAAACTGGAATGGAATTGGGGGGTGGGGTGGAATTCCCTAAATAAAAGTTCTCACATGTGTATATAATTCTAGATTAAATAAGATGGTTGTATGTCAATAGAATAATTATTAAAAACATTCTCCTTGAGGTTTGAGAATGAAGCAGTAGATAGGGATCTACTACATAGTTGTTAGTCATCAAAAGTATGTTTCCAATAATCAATTGGTATTCCTTTAAAACACAATAATGGTCTCATTAAAGCTAAATTAAATGCACACTGTATTTGGGAATAATTTCTTTACCACCACACAATCCTTTTTTGTTGCATTGTTGACATTCAGTGGCGAATTAGAAAAATCTCAAGAAAACTCCCCAGGGCTATACATATGCACTTATTTTTAATTCAACCTGGATACCAGTGATCTCACTAGTACATCTCCAAGTCTTTACAAAGGATGAGTTAAAAAGCTGAGTTGAAAGCTAATATGTTAGAGTTTTTTTTTTTAATAGGATAAATCTTTCCTTATATGAAAACGTAGGGAACACACTTCTTGGAGAAGATTATTGTTAAAGTTTGCTTCTGTGACAAAAGATGATGATTTCAAATCATCCTTTATTAATTACTGAAATATACAGTTTCTTGTTCTACTCATTTGGAGGTTCCAAGTCATCAGGTAATAATCATGGTTAATAAGCATTTGTAGCTGAAATTACACAAAAGCAGGTGGGATGTATCTATGAATTCCAAATTACAACTTTTACCCATTTTTATCCTTGGTCTATGAAGTAATTCCCAATGGTTTTAAATGGAAAATGAATATAGTTTAAAAGGCAAAATGCTTACCTGTTTTAGAGTTTAAGGAGAATACTCCATTTTCATTTCCACTAAAAATCCAGTATTTTATTTCTTTCCCACTGGACTCTGGAGTGAAGGCTTCTACAGTCACGATGGGAAATCCTGCAACAATTGGATAAAAGATATATCAGAAAGGGAATATTTCAAGGAGAAAATCAATGAACATAGAAGAATTTTTTAGTCCCTACTACATTCACAGAACATTAGGTATTTGGGAAGGTAGGGGTGGCAAAAGAAGAACAGTATGAAGAATCATGGAGGTTCAAATGATCAATGTGACATGTGCAGGAGACCATAAGGGAAATGTATTTCAGAAACAGAGAATGTCTGCTATAGAAAAGTCAGAAACAAGCTCAGATAAGTAAGCAAAGGTCAATTTAAAGAGACCTTGGCGGACAATTCGGATTTGATAAGACAAGAAATGGGAAACTATTATAGGCTTATGAGCAGAGGAATGACATAGTATAAGGGAGTGATTAGTGTGCCAGTAGTACATACTGAAGTAGATTAAAGTATTAAAAGGAAGAAGGGTAGCTGAAGGGTAGTACAGCAATATAGGTGGTGGTAAGAGCCTAGAATAAGATAATGGCAGATTAGAGTACAGTATAGGCATTTTAAAGGAAATAAGTATAGGATGAAAACAATGGATATATGGACTAATTCTCTCTCTCATTTGTAACCCTATGACACTTAGGGCTTACCACTCATATGGCATTTCACATATTCAGTCTTATCTTGTAGAAAGGGTTACTCAAAGATGCCTTGGTATACCTTGGGGGTATCTTATATATCTGTGATTGTGTCACATCTCTCTTATTAGACTTTTATAAACATAAAAGAGAGGCTTAGCTCATGAAAATGATTATTCCAGAAGTAGCAGCTATCAGACTACTAGATTTGGAGTCAATAATAAGAATAAGAATACCTTTTATAATATGTTTTAAGATTTGCAAAATACTATGTGTATTAAATTAGGTATATATAATATATAATTACAGATATACAATTAGATATATATGAGCATATATATACATAGATGTATATATGTATATATGAGTATGTGTATATATGTATATATACATGTACATATATGCATATTTATATTTGTATATACAGACCTATATGGACATATATGCATACACACAGACATATATACATACACATATGTGCATATGTGTGTATGTGTGTGTATCCATCCATCTATCTATCTATCTCTCTATCTGTCTATCTACCTATCTACCTATCTGTAAAATTATGTCCTCAATAACCTTGTGAGGTAAGTTTATCCCCATTTTACAGATAAGGAAACTGAGGTTGAAAGCAGTGGAATGACTTGTCTGAAGTTAAATAATTAGTATATGTCTGAGGCAGGATTCAAAGTTAGATGTTCCTAAGTCTAAGCCCAACATTCCTTCCACTGTATCTAAGTTTGAATTCTGTATTCCCTGCTTACTAGCTATGAAACCATGAACAAGTAATTTAACCACAATGGACTTTGACTTTGATTTTTGCAACAGATTTTCTCTACTTTCTGAGAACCAGCCTACCTAAGAACAGAGAAGTTCACTGCCAATAAGGTAGCCACTTAGTGATGAATTCTTTAGCATGGCAACTCATGAAATAAGGGGAAAATGTCCATCTGTAAAATGAGGATAATAATACCCGTAGTGGTGATTTCATAGGCTTTTATGACACTCCTTTGTATAAAGTGCTTCATAATTTTTTTTTAAACTCAGCATGTGATTTCATTGAGTTTAGGGAACTCCGGATGAGGAATCTCCTTCTACCAAAGCAGACAGGCACCCTTTCTGCGATTCATGGTTAGTGAGAGTCGCCTGTGTTGCTGAGAGGTTGTGACTTCCCCAGGGAGGTTGGACCGTCTTGGAGGTCCCTTCCAACTCTAGAAGACTGAGCCTATGAAAAAGACGAAGGTCTCCCACTACATCCTGGGCCATTTCCTGTCCTCCTGATCTATAGCTGGCCACTAGAATCAGATGGCATCAGAGGAAAAAGTGAGACTGTTGACTTTTCATAGTACTCACTCAAATCCAATTCAATTGCAAGTCGTGTCATCATCTCTCTGAGGTCATGGTCCTCTTCAAGAATGAAGAACAGACCACAACAAGGGTCATTGCCAAGTATGTCTTAAGAGGCAAGATTTGAAAGCAGGTGTCTCTGACCCTGGAGGTATACTCTCCATCCTCTGAGCTACACTTCCTTTAATTAACAGGTAACAGCTGTCATTTGCATGGTGCTCTAAGTTTTGCAAAGTAAATTACATAAATTATTTCATTTGATCCTTGTAAGCATTTATGCATCACACAAAATGTCAGCTATTACCAAGATAATGTGCTTTCTAGAACTTATTTATTGAATTGCATAATAATAGTTAAGCTTCCCAACCTCTACAAGAAAAACAAAGTTTGTTTCTTCTACTACATTTCCCAAACAATTCCCAGCTTTGGAATTGTTTTAATTAAAATTTTTAAAAATCAGCAAGTATTTGTTTGTTTGTTTTTTCCTGACCCTCTCCTCCTTTTCCTTTTTGTCCTTCCCCTCCATGGCTTAACGACATGCTACTGGAGAAGTCAAGGCAGACAGAACTGCTGCCATTGTATTCAGCCCTCCTGAACCATTAGACATTGACATCCTTAGAGCTGAGGAAACGAACACTCAGTGCTGCAACATGCCCTTACTTGCTAGGACTTGGTAGATGGGGTGGAGAAGAAAGGGGTCTGCCCTCCCATCAAAAGTTCTATGTTGTCATTGTCTCTTTAACACAGATCTCACCAAACATGTAAAAGTGGAGCAAACTGGCCCTTCCTAGACCAGGAAGGTATTTCCCTCCAGAGTCTGTGCAATGCTTAATAATACTCTCAGAAATATTCAGAGATGGCTAGAAATATCAGAGGGAACAGGGATGGGACATCGCTGAGAAAACAATAATTTCAAAGAAATTTCTTCACAGAGGGGCATGGAACAGAAAGAAGGCATTGTGGAAAAAAGAGCAAGAAAAATGTGAAACGGAATACATTATTGTCTTCAGAAACTTCATGTTTAACATAAACTGTGACAAAGTTTAAAAAACATTTATCAAGATGTCCAAATGGCTGTTCATTTCAAGCCAGTGATGAAGTCATTTAGCACACATGGTAATTGATTTTAACCAATCGTGATGGGATCAAGTTTCTGCACAACTTGACCCTTTCCAAATTGTATTGAGCTGATCCTTATTTTATTACATTACAGGAGACATGCTGTTAATATAAAATGTCCCCCATTTGAGGGTGGGAATGTGCCTTCACAGTAGTACAACATGCTCCACCTTCAGCACACAATCAGACTTCCATGCTTCCTGATGTAATTTGTTTTATAAACTCAGGAAATTTTACTTCAGCTGGCTTGTCACTGACTCTTAAATGTGGCAGCAGGAAGAGAAAGTGCAACAGGCAATTCACACTAACCCATCGACTGAATAGCCTTTTCTGTAGAGAGTATGGTGATGGCTTGCATTTATATAAGAAAAAAAAAAGATGAGCAACAATGATGATGAAATCATAGACAATAGAAATATGAAAAATTGTTCCAAATCACTAATAATTAGAGGAAATTCAAATTAAAGCAACTGAATTTCCACCTCACAACCATCAGATTGGCATAGATGAGAAAAAAAGTAAAGGGATAATGACAAATGCTAGAGAGGCTGTGGGAAAACAAGTACATTAATGCACTGTTGGTGGAGCTGTGAATTGGTCCAGTTATTCTAGAAAGCAAAACAGAACTATGTCCAAAAAGTCAGTAAATTGTGCGTATCCTTTTTATCAGACTATATTATTGTTGTTGAATCATTTTCAGTTGTGTCTGACTCTTCATGACCTCATTTAGGGGTTTCTTGGCAAAGTTACTGGAGTGGTTTGCCATTTCCTTTTCCAGTTCATTTTACAGATGAGGAAACTGAGGCAAATAGGGCTAAGTGACTTGCCCAGTGTCACACAGCTAGTAAGTGTCTGAGGCTGGATTTGAACTCAGGCAGATGAGTCTTCTTGACTCTAGACCTGGAACCCTATCCACTGCACCACTTAACTGCCCCAGCTATAGCATTACTAAAATCCAAGTAGATCAAAGAAAGTGAAAAAGGACCTATGTCTACGAAAATTTTTATAGCATCTCTTTTTGTGGTAGCAAAGGAATGAAAATTACAGGACTGCCTGTTTACTAGGGGATGATTAAACAAATTATGGTAAGTGAATGTAATGGAATATTAATGAGCTGTAAGAATGACAAAATGGAGAGTTTCAAGCAAACCTGGGAAGACTTGTATGATAGAAGTGAACAGAGCCATAAGAACTATAAATATTAAAACAACATTATAAAGAAAAATAATTTTGAGACACTTAGAATTCCTACCAGTGCAATGACCAACTACAATCCTAGAGGACTGTATGATCCACCTCTTGGCTAAAGAGGTGATAGGCAAGATACAGAAAAAAGACTTACATTTTTGGACACAGTCAATGCAAGAATTTGTTTTGCTTGACTACTCATATTTGATTTTTTTTTGTTTTTCTGTTTTTCTCCCTCCTGCCCAGGAAAAGCTAAGTAGGAGGGTAAAGAGGGACAGGGACAAAGTAGCAAAAATAAAAAGGAAAAGAAAGAGAACAGAGTTATTGAGACATCTTCTTAGAATTGCAAAGAACAGAAAGAGGTCCTGGAAAAAGTACCAAAAAGCTATAGAGATCTATAGTTTCATGCATAATCCTCTTTTTTCTGAATAGACAGATAGACAGCCAGATAGATAAATAGATAGATAGACAGACAGACAGACAGACAGACAGA